TTGCTGCTGCTGCTGCTGCTGCTGCTGTTCAAGGAGATCGGCGTAGTCTGCTGCTGCTGCAGCAAAAGCAGCAGCTGTGCGGCGCCACGCACGAGAGCTGCTGCTGGTGAAGGCAACAAACAGTAGATTGCTGTCAGCAGCAGCAGCAGCAGCAGTTGTTGCTGCTGCTGTTGTTTTTTCTGCTGCTGCTGCTGCTGCTGCATGCAGTGTGCCTCTCAGCTCATGGGCTGTCAAAGGCTCCACAGAACCTGCAGCAGCAGCAGCAGCAGCAGCAGCAGCAGAGCAGCAGCTAAAGAGTAGCAGCAGCAACCCCATCATTATCAGGCTGTGCTTCAGCCCCTGCTGCTGCTGTTGTTGCTGTTGCTGTTGCTGCTGCTGCTGCTGCTTCTGCCGATGTTGCGGATATTCCTATTGCTGCTGCTGCTGCTGCTGCTGCTGCTGCTGCTTCTGCTGCTGATGCTGCTGCTTCTACTGCAGCAGCTGCTTCTGCTGCTGCTACGCCTGCTGATGCTGCTGCGCCTGCTGCTGCTGCTGCTGCTGCTGCTGTTCCCTTGCTGCGGTAAGGGCCGTCCGCTGCTCAGCAGCTGTCTGCTGCCTTCTGCTGCAGCAGCAGCAGCAACAACAGCTGGTGGCGTTGCTGCTGTTGCTGCAGCGGTGTGTGTTGCTGGTGCTGCTGATGTAGTTTCTATAGTATCTGTTCCTGCTGCTGCAGTATCTGCTGCTGCTGCCTCGGCAGCTGCTGCAGCTGCTGCAGCTGTTCTGTTGCTGCTACTGCGACCGCTGCTGCTGCTCCTGCTGCTGCTGCTGCTGCTGCAGCTGCCAGCAGCAAGCTAGTTGCTGCTGGAATCAACTGGGGCGTGGGGTGTGTAGGCAGGTCTGCGGTGTATAGGCAGCTGTGTGCATGCATACAGCTCAGCGTGTGGTTAGGGTGGTTTTTGTTGTGTATTTTTGTATTTATTTTTTAATTAATAAAATCATTTTCAATTCAAATTGAAATAATTAATAATAAAGAAAAAGAAAAAGAAGAAATGCTGCGGCTGTTGCTGCTTTTCTGCTGCTGCTGCTGCTGCTGCTGCTGCTGCTGCTGCTGCTGTCGGCTGCGGCGGTCCAGTGGCCTGCTGCAGCGGTGCATGCAGCAGCTTTCTGCGAATTAAAAAAAATAAATTAATTATATTTAAATTAAATTAAATTAATTAATTATATTTACTAGAAAACACATTAAAAAATAATTTATATTCATTTATACAGCAGCAGTTATATAACGCTGCTGACGAGCAGCTGCCTATACACCCCAACACCAGCAGCAGCAGCAGCAGCAGCAGCAGCAGCAGCAGCAGCAGCAGCAGCAACCCCTGATGAGCTGCCTATACACCTCAAACCCCACAACCTTGTGCATGCAGAAAGAGAAGAATAAATTCAGGAAGCAACTCAGAGCTGCAGCAACAAACAAACCAGCAGCAGCTGCTGCTGCTGCTGCTGCAGCAGGTAGAGTCCCTGGTGCTGCTGCTGCTGTTGCTGCTGCAGTTGTTGCTGCTGCTGCTGCTGCTGCTGCAGCAGCTGCTGCTGCTCTGTTTGGTTGTTAATGCTTCTGCTGCTGCTGCCAGCAACAGGACCACTAGCACCCTATGTTGCTGCTGCATAGTATAAAATGTTGCGCTGTATGTACACCCCAAACCCTAAACCCTAAACCCTAAACCCTAAACCCTAAACCCTGAATTTTGAGGGTTTAGGGTTTTGCAAGCAACGGGCGTTGGGGTTTAGCCGCGCCAATCAAAGTAAGCAAAAAAAATACAAAATAAATAAAATAAATAAAATAAATAAAATAAAT